TCCCCTATGCATAGGTTCATGGGTGGAACCCGCAAGTTCATCACCAAAACATACATCAAGTGGATCAATAGAATACCCCATTGTCACCACGGGTATACCACGCAAGACATACATCAAGTGTTCTCAAATCCTTAAAGACTCAATCCGATAAGATAACTTCAAAGGGAAAACTCAATCCATTACAAGAGAGTAGAGGGGGAGAAACATCATAAGATCCAACTATAATAGCAAAGCTCGCGATACATCAAGATCGTATCACCTCAAGAACACGAGAGAGAGAAAGAGAGAGAGAGAGAGATCAAACACATAGCTACTGGTACATACCCTCGGCCCCGAGGGAGAACTACTCCCTCCTCGTCATGGAGAGCACCGGGATGATGAAGATGGACACCGGAGAGGGATTTCCCCCTCCGGCAGGGTGCCAGAACGGGTCTAGATTGGTTTTCGGTGGCTACGGAGGCTTCTGGCGGCGAAACTCCTGATCTATTGTCGTCCTCGAAGTTTTTAGGGTAAATGGGTATATATGGGAGGAAGAAGTACGTCGGTGGACCTCCGAGCTGTCCACGAGGCAGGGGGGCACGCCCCTCCACCCTCGTGGGCAGCCCAGGACTCTCCTCGTCCAACTCCGATACTCCGTGTGCTTCTTCTGGTCCAAAAATAAGTTCCGTGAAGTTTCAGGTCAATTGGACTCCGTTTGATTTTCCTTTTCTGCGATACTCTAAAACAAGGAAAAAATAGAAACTGGCACTGGGCTCTGGGTTAATAGGTTAGTCCCAAAAATAATATAAAAGTGTATAATAAATCCCATAAACATCCAAAACAGATAATATAATAACATGGAACAATAAAAAATTATAGATACGTTGGAGACGTATCACTAACTCATTAGTCACATTGCTTGCAAGGCTTATAGTGATGTGCGTTACCGAGAGGGCCCAGAGATACCTCTCCGATACTCGGAGTGACAAATCCTAATCTCGATTTATGTCAACTCAACAAACACCATTGGAGACACATGTAGAGCACCTTTATAATCACACAGTTACGTTGTGACGTTTGGTACCACACAAAGTGTTCCTCCGGTATTCGGGAGTTGCATGATCTCAGTCATAGGAACATGTATAAGTTATGGAGAAAGCAATAGCAACAAACTAAATGATCATCGTGCTAAGCTAACGGATGGGTCAAGTCAATCACATCATTCTCTAATGATGTAATCCTGTTAATCAAATGACAACTCATGTCTATGGTTATGAAACATAACCATCATTGATTCAATGAGCTAGTCAAGTAGAGGAAAACTAGTGAGACTCTGTTTGTCTATGTATTCACACATGTACTAAGTTTCTGGTTAATACAATTCTAGCATGAATAATAAACATTTATCATGATATAAGGAAATAAGTAATAACTTTATTATTGCCTCTAGGGCATATTTCCTTCATATAGTGTGTCCAAGGTCAATACGGAAATTCTTTTAGAGGTTTTCCCTTACTTTGTTCGTGTTAACAAACAATTCAAAATACCTCAACTTTTTTAGAACTGGTCCAAGTCAAATAGCAATGATTTGAAACACTTCTTTTCCATTACACTATTTTGAAAACCTAACGACTACATCATATGGATATGGAAAATTATAGGATTTTCGATCCTAGTGGAAAAGGGAGGCAAATAGATACCCAATTTAAAGTGAGTAAATAGAATGATCCACCAGTCAAGATTTTCTGGATTGTCACCCATTCAATGTAAAGGGATATTGTACAATGAGGGGAATTTGATGCAAAAGGTCTCCCATTAAGGCAAGTGTCTTCTCAGAAAAGCATTTTGCTTCCATCCCCTACAATTATCTCGGTATATCTATGAAAAGCATGATTAAATTCACCAGACTTTTGCCATAGGTCATAACAGTGATCCATGATTCCTTTCTTCCACAATGACAACACTTGTCTCTACAAATATTCCCCTTTTAGCTGTGTTTGTCATGAATCTACAATTTTTTCCGATCACAACAATAGTTTGCAATGTATGCTCTAATTCAATGGGGTGAGATAAAGAATTCTCAAACCTCCATAATCCTTTGCTAAGTGCACTATAGGTCGGTATAACATATGGTACTTCTTTCGATTAGTCTGTTGCCATAACATTCTACCCTGTGATAATCCATTCTCTTAACAACTCCATTAGGGCCTCCACAAGGGAACCATGTGCAGGGGAACACTGCTCATGAAACAATTCGCCAAAGCTGCCCTTTGCCTCCTATTGATAGGATGTTTCTTTTCCATATGAGGAGTTTCTTTTCAACTTCATATTAATTTGGTTTCCAATGTGAATCACTTGACATCAATTGGAACCCCCGAGAAAGAGAAATGAAAAGTATCCATATTGCAAGTGAAGATTTCACGGTGGTTGTAATCTAGGAAAGGATATCTCCTAGAAAATAAACTTCACTCCTATAAAAATATATTTCCAACCTAAAATTATATTCAATTTTACACATCATGAACTTGAGATTTCTAGCATTTTTCATGCCATTCTTATGTAAAAAATACAGTGTCATCAACATATTGCAAAATTGCTAGACCACAATCTACTAGATGAGGCACCAAAACTTTTAGACAACCCAAATATTGAACTTTCTTGATAAGCCTGGTTAGCCCATCTGCTATAATACCAAAAAAGTGGGGGAGAAAGGGGATGACTGCCTAACACCCTTGAAAGTGAGGAAGTATGACATCCATAGTATTCAACTCTATAGACAGTCGTCCACCCCAAGCAATTTTTATTATCCAATCACATCAAACATCTTAATCCTTTGGTGTGTGTCATTTGGTAAAGAAAAGACCATTTGACTTTATCATGGGCATACGTAAAATCCGTCTTAAGAAAAAAAACTTATTTTTTGTTAGAGTGAATCTCATGTGTTGTTTCATGCAACGGGACAATACCCTCCATGATATTTTTCTCTTTAATAAACCTAGTTTGTGTGTCACAAACCACCTTAGGAAACATTATACTCAGCGAGATGCAAATTGTGGAGAAATGTTGACGTAGAGGGATGGTTGTGGAACGAGTGTGGTCGCACATTATAGTTGCTGGGGTTGCCGAAAAGTGATGGTGACAACACATGAGTGACGTCGGTGGTGGTGCTAATCGAGCGTCCGGCCTCTAACTTCGGGGTGAAAGCCTAGGACTGGCCCGAGTTGGTTATACCTGCCAATGGTGATGTTCTTACGTTGTTACCTTGTTCAAGGCATTGCTCGGATATGTTCGGACTGATTTTTTACGATGGAAACCTAGATTCTGACCTTCGCTGGTAGAACAGCGACGGTGACCCATGGTCGTCGCTTCTTTCCAGAAGGAGTTACTGTTTAAGAACATCGTGATCCATATGGTGTAATGAGATGGTTGGTGTGGATATAGTTATTGTTGTAGTTTATCGATCATAGATATGATCATTTTAGTCAACAAAATTGTGTGTTCATCGTGTTTCTAAATGCTTCATTTGAAGACAATAAAATCTACCCTATGTCGACAGAATGTCTGCACGCAGTGGAAGACAACCTTGGTGAATTTTTAGTGATAATTAAGTGGTTCCCCATTCACATCAACAAAATGTTGGCTATGAGCAACAAAACTTATGCCATTGAATTTGTTTTTCGTCACAGTTTTTCACAAAACTCGTAGGCCTCCTTTGGTTTAGAGGAATTTTGTAGAATTTTCATAGGATAGAATTTTTATAGGAAAAATTCCATCAGAGCTCTTTGGTCTTCCTTTGGTTTAGAGGAATTTCATAGGAATTCTAGAGGATAGGATTCTTATAGGATTTTTTTCCTTTAGAGCCATTTGGTTCATAGGAATGGATTCCTATTCCTACATAGGATTGGTTCCTATCCTCCACATTTCATAGGAAAATAAAAAAGAGCCTAGACTCAATGGAAAAATTTCTTTGGTGTCAACCAAATGACATCCTGTTTCTTATTCCTACTCGTAGGATTTGAGATACATGTCATCTCATTTCCTACAAGATTCCTATTCCTATGATAATCCTATCCTATGAACCAAAAGAGGCCTTGGTTTGTAGGAATGAAATCCTATTTTTATGAAGGAATTTTTCCTATCCTTCACATTTGATAGAAAAATAAATATTAGCCTAGATTCAATGGAAAAAATCTTATGGTGTGAATTAAAGGGCATCTCCTTTTTTATTCCTATGCATAGGATTTGAGATGCATGTTATCTCATTTCCGACTTTCCTATTCCTATGATTTTTAATCCTATGAACCAAAGGAGGCCTTATTGATGGACAAAGTTGAGTATATACATATGCGTTGAGGTTGCATTACGTGCGTTCGTGCCGGAGTTTGGCAAGTTCTATCTTACTTTACCATCTTCCAACCATATAAAGCTAAAGCACGCAATCTGCCTTGCTCTTGAAAAGAAAGGCATGCCGGAAAGAGGCTACAAATTCCCTTCCAACGCGTGGTTGGCAAGAACATACTGACCGTTTCGAGCTCTTTTGCTTGCCATCTACTCCCTCCGTTCCTAAATACAAGTCTTTATAGAAATTTCACTATGGACTACATACGAAGCAAAATGAGTGAATCTACACTCCAAAATGCATCTATATAGATCCGTATGTGGTCATAGTGGAATCTCTACAAAGACTTATATTTAGGAACGGAGGGAGTAGTACTCCATAATACATAAACATGATCGATTGGAACAAAGCTGTTCTAGGAATAATGCCCGGTGTAGCCACTGGGGTAAACACGCAGCAGACTAACAGTAAGCACTAGGCCCATGTATTTAGATGGCATCACAAATAACAGATAGATAACATACCATCTCAGATCCTGACAAGTCCAGCAAAATCTCAAACACTACTAAATTTTCATCTGATACACCAATAACAGTGATGAGTGATTCACACAATATTTCACGATTTTGGGGCAAAGATACAACGCTGACCAAAAGCTCAACAGTCTGCCCACCAAAGTGATCTAAGCAGCAGCAACCTCCTTCTTAAGCTTCGCTAGCTCCTGCCTGATAGCTCCTCCCCTCTGTTTACATTGTAATCATAAATGTCAGGAATGCATGCACAATTTGCTTACAGGAATTAAGCATGAAAGAGCCTTTGAGAATCTCACCTTGATCTTGGCGAGCATGACCTTGAACCTGTCGAAGTCATTGAGCGATGCCCTCCTCTTCTGGACAACCAGCTTCTTGCCCCATGAGCTGTTTTCCCACTTGGTCTTCACATCTGCAATCAGGATGCCATTTTAAACAGTTGATATTAACAATTTTTTAAGATTTATTGAAGGGCTAGTTTAATACCAGCTTCCTCCATTGCTTTGATCAAAGTTGCCTTCTTAGGGATCCGCTTGATGTCAATCTTGATGTCGGTCAGAGAGAGCCGCTTGAAGTTCATCTGGCAGCGGACCATGTCCGGAGCATCAACAAGTGCCTGTTTTCACATAAAAGCAAATGCATTGAGTACTTTGGCAACCAAAGAAAACCATATACTTCGGCAAATGCAAATATATACAAATATCGACTCTAGCGAAGGTAACGGTTAAAGAAGTATCAACACATATCAAAAGCAGATGAGGCAATCATCATTGAGAATGTAGACAATAGAAGTCGCGTTATTTGCAGCATAATGGGCAGGGTTTTGACATCAAGCATAATGGGCAGGTTAGTGGTTAGTCAGACGCAGTATCTCACTCTGATCACTTTTTTGAAAGAAAAATATGTTAATGCAAACAGCAAAACAAGACATGACATTCCAGATAAACAGTCACTGAGACTAAAGGGTCAAAGAACGATTTTAAACACCAACTCAGAGAAGATGTTGCAGTAAGTGATTTAAATATCCTAACAAACATTAGAAAATCATTACCAGCAAACAATCAAAAAACTGAGCTATGACACTGTAACTAATACTCCCTCTGTAAACTAATATAAAACTTTTTAGATCACTAAAGCATATAGTGATCTAAAAAGTCTTATATTAGTTTGCAGAAGATGGAGTACAATTTATGTTGCGTTTAAAAATATGATTCGCCAACAGAATTTAAAAAGTAGCTATAGGGACAACCCAGCAAGGAAACTGGCAAATACTGCATCAGTATCATAAATTGCAAACCACGACCTGCTCGATATACCAAGAAACAGTAGTAGAACAGAGCAATGATGCTATCATGAGAAGAAGAAAAAGAAGGGGATGAAGGCATCACAAATTCACAACTCATGGAAGATGAAGTTAATACTGAAGTTATTTATTTCACAATGAAAACAGCAATAAATATCAAGTGGCAAAATATATAACAGATATTTGAGCAATAGCATGTCTGGCTGTTTATTTTCAGTAGTACCTCAAGACATTTAGGTAAGGCCGCAAGGCATACTCGAGACTGATCAGGTGAGCTAAAGCATATACAACTAAAAACATTGGCAGGGTAGATAAAGGGCCGCATATTAAAGACGAGTCAAATACAAAACATAAACAAGTTGTGGTAACATAACTGCGCTGACAAGAGTATGCAATACTACTTGCCAAGGGTAAACTTCAAATGGCATGTAAAATCAACTAGCATTTTCAAATTCGCATAGTTGTAAAGGCTAGTTATATATGCAATCAAAGTTAAGGGATTTTAGGAGGCCAATCACAGCCAAGTTATTAGCTACAAAGCAACAACAAAAATTAACAAGAAATCGCAGAAACACTGTGATATCCGTGCAGTCACACTTTTACTTTGAATCATACAGAAGTCCACACCTTGAACAGCTCAAATCTACAGCCTAGGGACACGCAGAGAATAAGTGTCTACACTAAACATGAAACTGAGCACGATCTCAATCACTACGTCCGTATAGGCTCCTCCGCCGAAGCAGATCGAGAATGACAGGAGGAACTAGGGAAGGGGATCGAACTCACCCTGTTCTGGTCAACAACGTCGACGATGACGACGAGGCGGCCGTAGTCCTTGCCATAGTTCACCAGGGCCACCCGCCCGATCTCCACGAACCTCTTGAACGGCTGCACGAGCACAAAAACAAGGCACGAATGGTCAACAACCAAGACCACCAGGGAGAAGGCGAGAGAGAAAGCCTGACAGCGAGTGAGATTTTCCAGGTCTTCCTACCATTTTGCGGCTGCGCGGGCGGCGGCGGCGGCGGCGGCGGCGAGAGGTGGGAGCGAGCGAGACGGGGAGGCGGAGGGCGGCTAGACAGGGGATCGAGGGGCTGGATGTAGCGGATGTGTATATAGCCAAGGCGGGGGGTTCTATAAGAGCCGACAGATCTGGTGATCGAGGCTTCTGGTCGTCCGATCTAGGTTAGAGGTTTCTGGGGGTTATGGTTTGGGCTTCTGGAGCACTGTGTGAGGATTTTGGGCTTCTATCGTATGCACTCCGGTAATGGGCTTAAGCGGGCTTAACTGGATAGGCTGGATTCATCTATACTACTATTAAACAATCAAACAAGAACTTCTTTAAGTACACCCCACAAAATGTACACAGATCCAATACCACCGCATGATTAGGACTACTAAAATTAATCTAACGGTTAGCCTTAACCTAAACCATTTTCTGTGTGCACTTAGCAATTTACATTGACTGACCGTACTCCACCGTGGAGGAAAATATGAAACTCCATGCCTGGGCAATTAGGAAACTAATAATTACAGGTGCATCATATTCTAGAAAACTAAATCAGAGTGCATCCATCCTATTAGGAAACTAATCTTAGACAAATACATCCTATTAAAAAACTTATCTCGGATGCATCCATCCTATTAGGAAGCTAATCGCGAGCCGCCTGCTGCCATCATGCATGCTAGCCACAATGGGGGAAGCGCGAGGAGCTTCGTCTTCCTCCGGGAACACACGTGTTGTCGCCGCCATCGTCTTCTACGCTCTTCTGCCACTACTGCGATGACTCCATCCACGTCCAGGGCATGCTCTCCGGCAACCATCGGCATCCGCGTCGACTTCAGCTTCGTTCGCAACACCCACGCCGACAACAATCCACCACTGACGTCCTCCAAGTCTAAGCCGCCAACCGCCGCCGTCCCTAGGGCGGCACCGGTCTCGGCCGTGGCACGGTAGGTGCCGTCATTGCCGTTCCTGCCGTCGTCCTACTGGGCCGTCGAGGACCTCATGCAGTTCTTCCTACGTGCACAGTCGAGGGCACCGAAGGTCTATCACAAATCAATCAGGTGACCTTTAATTCGATTTGGGGGTATTCTGCAATTTGCATGACTAATGACTAATACTGCACTTTTGGCACTTGGAGGCGGGTCAGAAATTTTTTATCTGCAATTTCATCTATCAACCAATTTCCCTTTGATGCATTCTAGAAATAAAAAATTGGGACATGAAGAAATTGCTATTCTAGAATTTAATTAATCATTTGATAATTGCTTTGGGAAATGCATGTGATCTGGAGCATGAAAATCATTCTCATATATACTCTCTCCGTTTCAAAATATAAGTCTTTTTAGAGATTTCAATGCAGACTACATACAGAGTAAAATGAATGAATCTACATTTTAAAATATGTCTATATACATTGGTAGCATCTCCAACAGCCGTGCAACACGCGGCACGCTAAAAAGTAGTTTGCGGCGCACCCATCGTCAGGTTTGGCGCGGCGCACAGCGCTGGCTCCAGCAGCCGCGTTAAAATACAACGTGCGCGCGCAGCTCCAACAGCGCGCTAAAATGCAGCGCGCGTGAGCAGCCCGCGCATGTCCATATTTGTTGCATTTTGGATACAAAATAAATTTTACATAGATATAAAAATTGATAAAAGATAATTTTGGCAATCCACACAACCAAAAAATATATATAATTTGATCCAAATTAGTACAAGTATATATTTTGCTATGCAGATTAGTAGAATAAATAAGATTCGAGAATTAAGCATCTTGAACAATATAATTGCATCGTAAGACAGTTTATACCTTTTTTTCCTGGCTACACTCGAAGAGAAGACTACACTACAAGCTTATATTGCTGCATTAATAAATAATTGCCGATTTTATTTAAATGAGGATATTTTCCTGCGATTACTCTATGCAGCAACATAACCACTATTGTGTCTCACTTTTGAAAATACAATTTGAGCGACATCAAACATTGTGTATCCATTTGATTTATATTTTTAAAAAATATATATTTTTTATATTATGTGAATCTGACCTACTTTACGTTTGAGACGTGCGTTGCACGTGCATGCTTACTAGTATCGGGACTACAACCTAAAATGCTGACACACGCTTTTGAGAAAGAGAATTAGGGGGCGTTTGTTTTCAAGGATTTTTTTGTATAAGGACTAAAAAAGTCTTTCTTAGAGACTTTTTTACCAAACGAGAGGGACTTTTTAGGGACTAAACTAGGCATTTGGGACTAAATGAAGAAGACTCTCAAGGAAAGTCTTTTTGGGACTTTTTCAACAATGCCCTCCATGCACCTATTGGCCTGCCACCCCATGGTGTTGTTTAATTGTTACTTTTCTATATACTAAGGGCAACATGGTCATTTAATAGCCTCTAGGAAGGGACTAGGGACTTTTTAGTCTTTGGAAACAAACAGTGAAGGACTTTTTAGGGACTAGGGACTTTTTAGTTGGGACTAGAAAAAGTCCTAGGACTAGAGAACGAAACATCACCTTACTCACTTCGTCCGGAATACTTGTCATTAAGATAAACAAAAGGGGATGTATCTAAATCTATTTTAGTTCTAGATACACCCCTTTTTATCCATTTTGATGACAGGTATTTCCAAACGGAGGGAGTATAAATTTGTCTCAAAAAATATAAATTTCCCTAAATAAAAAGAATTATAAATAGACTAAAACTGCTTTCTTACCGTCATGCTACATGCAAGCATTATCCGTGAGATCAAAGCCACGATGCTGGTGTTTCAGTCTTGCTCCTTCACTTTTGAGGGAAGAGACTCAAATTCTGAGGCACATAGTCCCACTAAACATCCAGAAAGATACATATTGTGAGGAACCCAACGCCTCATAGATTAGCGCTTCCTGGCCGTTGGATATGGTGCTTGATGCGTTTTGGGCCATTGGATCTTCCCCGGAAATCACCTCGACCGCTCGATCAAAACATGACACTGTGGATCGAAACAGTGTCGAACCGTGCGTGGCCCCGCCTAATATTTCCCTGCCCCGTCCAGGGCAAAATCGATATTTCACATGGAGGCCTTGTATGTGTCAGTCGTGTGTTGGCTCGGTGGTGGACGAGGCGAGGGCGAGCCCGTAGGGTTTCCCCCAATTAGTTTATTTTCTCTCTTCCATGCCTCCCCTCACGCTGCCGCCTCCTTACCAGCTAGATCTCCTCCGGCCATCCTCTTGAGCCAGCTGGCACCCTCCCTTTGTCTCAAGGCGAGGAGGACTAGCGGATCTAGGCTCAAGCATGGTCCTCTCCGCCTCTCGCCTAATCCAATAGCGGTGGCAAAAGGGATGGATCGCCGTCGTGGGAGCGCGCTGCGGAAGCAACCGTCGGTGATAGACGAGAGAGGGGCAGCAGGAGCAAGATGGGCATGGGCGAGGAGCTGATGAACCTGACGGGGTGGTTGTTCCAGGAGCCGCACTTCAGCTACTACATCACGTCTGTGTTCGGCCTCGGCGCGCGGGTGATAATCCCCAAGTGCAAGGAATCATCGTAGCAATTTCCAAAGGTGGAAGTGATAAGTATGGAGTGTCGAACCCATAAGGAGCTAAAGGTAATATCAATATTCTCTCAAGTCCTATCTGCCACTGATACAACTCTACGTACACCGAACGTTTGCTTCCATCTAGAAACGAGAAATAAAACTACGTTGTTGGTATGAAGAGGATAACTTTGCATGATATCGGAGAACTAAAATATAAAAATAGTTGTTGTTAACATAAAGTTAGAATATATTATAAATAGTGAGTGTGTAATAATGATGGGTCGGTGTGCGGAATTGTCCTAGGCAATTGTTAACAAGATCGGTAATCGGCATTGCAATTTCATACGAGGGAGAGGCATAAACTAACATACTTTCTCTTCTTGGATCATATGCGCTTATGATTGGACCTCTAGCAAGCATCTGCAACTACTAAAGATCATTAAGGTAAAACCCAACCATATCATTAACATATCAAGTCCCCTTTATCCCATACGTAACAATCCCCTTACTCGGGTTTAAGCTTCTGTCACTCTAGCAACCCACTATAAACGAATCATGAACGTATTGCAACACCCTACAGCGGGAATCCCTCATGTGTGCGCGGCATGGAAGGCACCATAGGGCAGCACCAAAATAAAACATACAACTCAAACCAATCTAGATCATCAATCAACCCAAAAGACAAAAGAAATTTACTTAAAACATCATAGGATGGCAGCACATCATTGGATCATAATATGTGGCATAAAGCACCATGTTCAAGTAGGGGATTACAGTTGGGTGCAGGAGAATGGACCACGTGAAAGAGATGAGGATGGTGATGATGAAGGTGATGTTGATGAAGACGATCACCGCGGCGATGATTCCCCTGATGACACTTTGGTGCCACCAAGAGAGAGGGGGCGTGGTTCTCCACTTTGTGCTTCCTCCTCCATGGCCTCCCCTTAGATGGGGCAAGGTTCTTCCTCTGGTCCTTGGCCTCCATGACGGCGATGACCCCTCCGGCTTCCTCCTCCATGGCCTCCGGTGATGTTGGCCCCCTGCGGCAGGGTGCCAGAGAGGGCATAGATTGGTTTTTCGTGGCTACAGAGGCTTGGGCGGCAGAACTTTCGATCTCTCTTTTGTTCTAGGGGTTTTTGGATGTATAGGAGGAATTGGCGTCGGTTTCACGTCAAGGGGGCCCACGAGGCGATCACAAGGTCGAGGGGCGCGTCCGGGGCGCCCCCACCCTTGTGGTGGCACCGGGACTCCTCTTCCATATTTTTTTTCTTCCAATATTTTTCATATTTTCCAGAAAAAATCTCCGTTAATTTTTAGCTCGCTCCGAGGACTTTTATTTCTACACAAAAACAACACCACGGTAGTTCTGCTGAAAACTGCGCCAGTCCGGGTTAGTTTTAATCAAATCTTACCAAAATCATATGGAATCATTGTAAACATGGCATGAATACTTCGTAAATTATAGATACCTCGGAG